CCACCAAATTACCATTTTTTTCATAATCATAAACGTGAGTTACTAAAATTATTAAGTTTGTATTTAGGCCTACATCACAGTTCAGTGCTTCATTTAATTTTTAAGTTATTTCAACAGAAAGCTTTTCTGGAAGAGGAATATAGGCCTATAGGCCGAAATAGAGGGAAAGTTGTTTTTGTCGTAGTGGAATTTTACTTCTTACCACCCGGAAAATACAGATTTGATGTAAGTTGGTTAAATACAGTAGCATATTTATCACAACGTGGCGATTTATGCCTTTTGCATGAATCAAGGGTCATATTCAGTTCGGTCAGCATATTATTTTGAAGAATGTTTTAGGCACGAATGACTTGGCCTTATTGATTTTATAATGACGTATTCGTATTCGTTATCGTTTTCGTAAGGTTGCGAAATCTCCCTAATGTTTTCCAAAGACGTAAATATTGTCAATGATTTATTAAAGTATGTAAATTATTCCTAAAATTATAGCATATTTAGAAACCCTCATTTAATTTGTATTTATGTTTTATTATGTTAAAAGGGCCAGAGACCTATATTCAGGTATTTTATTCATTCAAATTAAAAAATATATATAGGCCTACATAAAATGGTTTACTAGCAGCACAGTTGTTATTAAAAGACACCCAAGACAAAACAAGCTAAGAAATTATTATAAAAGAAAAAAACTTCATAAATAAATTTTAAAACAAGTAACAATCACAGAGACACTTACATCAATTCAATTCACAAATTTATCATTTAAGTTTAAAGGTAAAACATCATGAATTTTAATTAAATAAAGAGGAAAAAATTGATTGCAGATACATTAGTCATTAAGAATGTCAAGATATTAAATAATTACTATTTATTGAATAAAAGCCTTCTGGAGCAGGAAATATCCAGAGTAGGCCTGCTTGCCAATGAATATTATGTTGATAAAACAGACTCGTCAGTTTGCGTAGTGATTTTTTTTATTCTTAAAAATCGGTTGCTCAGCTTTTCATGGGTGTTATTTCTACCGGCTACCGGTACATTTTGTTACTTACATAATTAAATAGGCCTACAGTTTATCAGTTGTGTTTATCTTTCCCACTAGTTGAATCCATTTTCGGAAGACTGTGCACCGACTCCAAATCTATGTGCAGTTTCCTTTTCGAAACCACAAATTAATACAGGTAAGCATTACAGGGGTTTTTAATTTTTTTAAATTTTTTTAAATTTTTTTTTTTTAAAGGTTGAAACGCCTTTGTCAGACCTTTCAGAATAATTGTCTGATAATAGTGTAGTAAATCAGTCCCTAGTCCTCAAATAGACCTTTCCGGAGTGTCAATCAAACTTAACAACTGACTAATCAGAACAGTGCTAGGAATACGCACGCGTCTCACAAACACACGTGTTGTCCCACAAACGCACGCGTTTGCGTATGTTTTAACACATGTCGTCTTGTGGGACCTTAGCAACAATTTCCAAGGGGCGGGGCTTAAAGGAAAGGTCCATTGGAATACAAAGTGGGTGCACAACTATCTGTTTGCGGTGCCAAAAGCTTAGAGTGTTATGCATTCTAAATTTATCAGACATTGTGCCGAAAGCTATTCTCGGACCTAGAAAATAAAGAAGTTTTTTGGCCCCATTAGGATTCGAACCTAAGACCATTCAATTAGCGTTCAGCTTCTATACAAACTGAGAAATGAGGTGGATGCCCCGGCCCCCGGTTTTATTTATTTATTTATTCATTAGCAATCTAAATAACTGGACTGATCCCTAAAAAATAAATTGTAGACCTATACTGCGTGCATGTACATGTACCAGGTTACATAAAAGAAATGGTCCTTTTCTTATTATAGGCCTAAGTATTGCAAGAATCGTTAATTTTAAAAACGATTTTTACAAATGTCAGAAAAGAATCTTACTAGACTGGTACAATACGTCAGTCGGCTTCATTTTTTTTTTCTGTACAATGATTTACCGATGAGCAATCCAACGATTATAGTAGACATCAGATCAGTGATGTATACGTATGTTTTACCGTGCAGGAAAAAATTCCTCCATGGTTTTACACTGCCATTTTGTGGGGCCCTTAGCAACAATATCAAAGGGGAGGGTTTGCCAGACACAGAATTTTGAAATACGAACATCGAAATATACCTAAAAAACAAAAACAAAAAAAACATGTGTAAGATTCTTCCCATGGAGTTAGGTTTAGTAATTAATCTGTTTGCTGCTGTTCCTGAGCATAGATGGGCAAAAATATAAAAGTATCAAATAGATTTATTTCAAATCATTTTTCTTTTAGGTGACGGATACTTATTAACCGATGACGTCAATGCTCATAATTTTTTGAATACAGAAATATATAATAAAGATTTTTTTTCTCTGTTTTTTCAATAAGATGACGCGTGTTTTTATCGTCCGTGCAGTAATGCGACTTGCATCGTTAAAAAAGAGATTGGCGAATATGATTGTCAGTGTAACGAGACAGGGTTTGTGTATAATAAATCCGAAAATTCGTGTAGGCCTATGCCTTGTAAGTTCGCAATTTTCATATTAATTTTTTTTTCAATATATTACGGTATACAGTATCAATACTATATTTTGTTTTTATTAAATCATTTATTATACATTATTATGCAACAGGTATACTAAAGTAACAGACAAGGTATTTTCACACATTGATATTGTATGATTGTGCTATATTTACATTGTTTATATATCATATAATTACTGTTTTCATTTAATTATTTATTGATTATTGTGAAACATGGTGAATTTATGATACCGTAGTGTATAGTACGTCAAATTTGTTTATTTACTAATTGAGGTGGATCTTTAATACGATTGTTGTCCCTAAAATAATTTATCCTTACTATTAAGAAATTGAACGTTTTTAAAACCATAAATTACGTATTTATAAAGTAATTTGTAACTAAATACGGTAATATTGCAGACATTGCTATAACGAGTTCTAATAACTTCAGAATTCCCACTAATGCATTGAACACATTCTTCTACAATAAGTCCATCAAAGACGGGAACACACTGTGTACGTCAAAGTATTAAATGTAAACCGTCAATTTATTCATTTAAGAGCACTCTAAAGAAACATCTTGCCGATGAAACAATCACAGCTGAAAGTGCAACTATTAAATACTATTACTTTTGTTTAATCACAGATCATATCGGATCTGTGGTTTAATCAACTGTTCTCCAACTAAATTTTAGTAATAAGTATAAATTATAGTCATTAAATAATTGCTTTTTATCAATTGCTTATTTTTCACATAGGGCATTTTTCATGTTTTTGCAACGAAAAATTATTCGTTCTGGGACTCCATTGGAAATAAGTTTTCTTTTTGAAGACTTTCTGGCATCCTGGCATCTGTCACTTTTTAATGATGTTTTAACGGCCTCTAGTTATAATTACGTTCTGTGTTTGCTGGGTATTACTTTTTTAAAGCTCTGTCCACATTATCAAATTTTAGTTGACAAAAAACTGTTGTACCGTACACGCGGGAATAAACGCTCTTGCGCTTAAAATACATATTTTTTTGCACTTTTTAAGGGGCGGTTAACGGAGCGCTTATAAAAACAGAGTGAAAATTGAGGGCGCTTTATGGAAATTTATAAAAATTGAGGGATGGGAACTTGGAAAATTCAATTGGCGCTTTTTTTAATCAAAAGTCAGATTAAATAAGGACATCTGGAAACCGAAGATTACGAATGATTTTGGTGCAGAAAAGGTACCGTAATCATCCAGGGAGCAGGATGATGCTGTGAGTTTTAAACAGGAGAAGGAATTAGGAATGGTGGTGGTGTAACTTGTTAGCCATCTGCCGATTGAGATTAGCAGGATTGCAGGGCTTCTTGCAAACTCAGATGGAAACGTGCTAAAGGTGTAATTGGCAAAAAAACCAGAGAGTTAGGAATAGACAAATGTAAGAAGAGGAAAATTGGAAAGATTGTCCAGGGAGAGATTGTCTAGGAGATAATATCTTCATTTTGAAATTGACATTAAAAAAGAAAATGTGTTTCCATTCGCATCTCAAATCATGCCAACCACAGTCCAAGGATTGATTGGATTATTGGCTTGCTAAAAAAAAAATCACATAATATTTTTTAAAAAGTTAATAAACATCAAGGGGGCGCTTATTCAAACGGGCGCCTATTCGCGCGAGAACGGTATGTCCATAGGCCTATATAGTGATGATGTGCCTGTATATGGTCATGATGTGATGTCATCATGACCATATTAAGGCATGTCACATGTGTTTTTGTCAAGTAAAATGTGATAGTCTGGACAGGGCTTAGTTACTTCCTTTATCACAATATATATTTTTGCTAAAAATCATAGGCCCGGACTCTAAGTATTGAAATGTACGCCATCGTGTTATATTTTTGCTTTATGATTTTCTACCATGATTGATTGTGTATACACCGGTAATGAATGCAGATAAACCGTGTATTGTATCGTTTCAAAAGCAAAAAAGCACCCCGTTATGATGTTGTATATCTTATCTGTCATATGTTTGGTATAGATGAGCCATGTAACGTTGGCTGGTGCTTGAAGAAGACGGTGTCAATAGTAGCTACCATCGCGACGTTCATGATAATGGCGACTTCTATTATACTCTATAAAAAGCTCAAAGGAAGATTATGTAACGATGGAAGTAAGAGTGACATTCCTTTTTCCTCTTTTATAATTCAGTTCAATTCAAGTGCTATTACACCTTTATAAACATGATTATTATTATTATACCTATTATACCTAGTAGAAATTTCATTTAGTATTTAACCTTTAATCTCTTTTCTAACCTTTAGTTTATAAATTAAAGAACCTTTAACAGTATATTATTATACCTCCTATAATTATGATTGTCATTTTCATTAGTACTGTATAACCATCATAATAAGTGGTTAACATAATTATGCCTAATTATCATCATCATTATTATCATTTTTATTATCGTCTTATCGTCACTATTAAATCAATCATAACCATAATTAAACGCTTAATTGTCACCGTCATATCATGGTCATGGTGTATTATCATCATCATCTTCTTCATCATCATCGTTATTCATCATCTTCATCATTATAGTTATCGTCATTACCATCTGCATGCTCATGATCAATTAATCATCTTTATCATTGCCACCATCATCATCGTTAACTGCATCGTCATAATAATAAATATTTTTATCACCATCATTATCGTCATCTTCGTTTTCTTCTTCTTCTTCATCATCATCATCATCATCATCGTCATCATCATCATCATCATCGCCACCACCATCATTTTGTGTCAATTTAATCTACATTATCTGCCAAGTAGTCTTCATTAAAAGGTAGGCCTATATCTCCTTAGTGATAATCAGTGGCGTATCTAGAAGCTGTCTCTTATACACATCTAGATGTGTATAAGAGACAGGTTTTTGACTACTTGACCGTGATTTTTTGGTGGAGGAGACTGGGATGGGGACGTGAGTAAGTTTTGGAGGGGTGTCGGACCCCAGCCGGGCACCCCTTGATACGCCACTGGTTACTAATCTCCCCAACATACGTCTCTCATCAATATTTCACTATTGTTACGTTTAGCAGGGCCCCCTTTTTGGAAAAAAAAAAAAAAAAAAAAAAAAAAAAAAAAAAAATCAAATTATCACCCAAAAGGACTCAGAGGTTATTTTCGGGTGTATAGAAAATTTTTGCGGGGACATGCCCCCGGTATGCCCTAGGGTATTGTTATCTCGATCTTCACCTCCCCCTTTCCGCCCCTCCCCCTTTTTGGACATCTCTGGATCCGCCCCTGTTTAGCTAGCGATTTCCTTTTTATATTGATAACATAGGCTACAATAACCCAACTGATGATTATTTCAACAGGCTTATCAAATAATGTAGAAGAGAGTGTCGAAATAGACGGTCTTGCCAGTTTAAATGCGCTCAGGGAGTTCTCGGAACGCCTTGAGAGGCCTACATGCACATGTAGTCTGCAGTCCAATTCCACAGGAACTTTCAATTCATGTGGTGGATACATACTGGTGTCACCGTCCGACCCATCGAGCATGTCGACGCATTGCCATTGTAATCCATCGTGTAGGAGCGCCACTCATATGTAAAAATAATATGATCAGATTGTGGGAAGTACGGTTGCTCGTCATAGAGCGATGCTCTTGAGGAAGGATGGTGCTCATTAAAGTTAGACAAAATGCTTCTGTTGACGGTGCGCTTGAAGATTGGGGTGCTCCAGTAAGCGGGGAAAGTCTAAGCTCAAGGGATGCTTATAAGGGGGAAGTGATATGAAGTCGTATCAGAGAAGTCATATTTTAAAAGACTGTGTGCCGATGTTGCAATTTACCGTATATACAGTATGGAAAAAAAAACTTAATATCACGGGATTGTTTGCCTGTATATACTGTATAATAAAGTGGATTAAGCCTATATTGATTATAGTTTTGTATAAAAAAAAGTATAAATACAGGTTCAATTTTATATTACATGCTTCCGTGGTGGACGATTATGTGCCTCTCGCCTTGATAGCGAGAGATCGCAGAAAGGCCTCTTTTCGTTTAATGATGCTTGACTTAAAATAATAATATTTTCATATCCTATACCATTCCTTCTATCATTACCTATATAATACTATATATAGGCCTATATATAATATACCGTATATAATATATATATAGGCCTACGTATATATAAATATAGGTATATATATATACGTATATATATATACATACGTATATATATATATAATATATAGAAAGACAGCAATAAAAAAAAGCTATGAGTTGTAAACATACTAGAAGCAATATAATTTATTAAATCTCAAATATTTCAAATATTTCTTCCTCAGTTTGAGAACAACTGACAAAAAATACAAAGTGAAGCAAGTATAAGGAAATGGTATTGGTTACAAATTAAAATAACAAAAGAACCTAATAAAAGGCGGCATATAAAGATACATAATATGGAATAAACAATGTAGATAAAAGCTGAATAAGGGCATGAGAGCCAAGAGGAAAATTAAGAATACATAAATGAATAGTCTTTATATGCCGCCTTCTATATATATATATATATATATATATATATATATAATATAAAAAATAATATGTATATATACATATATATATATATGTATATATACATATATATGTATATATACGTATATATAGTTATATATATATATTTATATATATATATATAACTATATATATATGTATATATATTAGAATGGAGACAAGAAATAATAACATAGGCGGTTGACGTTTTTCCTGGATATATAAACATTTATTTAACAACGATTATTTCGGGAGCGCCTGCTCTCTCATTCAGCGTAATGCCTACAACTTTATTAATATTTTTATAATATTAAAATGCTTTTGGTTCACCTCTTTAATACAATTGTATGTATTCATAGGTGTATATTATAGTGTCACATTACGGTATATTCTGTTGTGTCATTATTTCACGGGACATCATATTACGCAAAGTCCTAATAAGAAGTAGGTCTATATTGCTACATAAGAAAATAGATGAATACATTAGGGCGGATCCAAGGGCGGGTGGTGCTCCATTTTCCACTATATTTTTTAATACAATACATATACCGATGCCATGTATTGAAATAAGAAAAAATTAAAATCCAATACAAAATCCCCCTCTGTAATGCCGATGTTAGTGCTCCCCATTTAAATATTCTGATTATTTGTAACCCCCACCCCCAATTTAAAACGTTCTGTAACCGCCCTTGACGATAATTAAGAACATGAATGGTTGGTAACAGGAAGAGGAAGGTAAACTTCTAATATTTTGTTATCCTTTGTGTTGTTATTAGCATTTTTAGATAATTCACAGGGAAATAATGATACATTATTCTTTTGTAAATTTATCATCCTACACTTCCTAATGAATATGCTTGATTTTGTAAAACAATTCATATAAGCCTTCCATATATGTCCCCCAGACGTTAAATGTGAGTGATTTGCGTGTTTTGTCTCCAAATAAAGTACGTATAACGAAACTTGTTATTTACGATACTCCATTAAAGGAAACTCATTGGTACAAAAGCATTGTTCGCAACAATACTTTTCTTCAATGTTAATTTCTTTTTCGATGATCAAAAATTATAATGGAACGTCAACCCATCAGCATTCTCCTGTGAATTTTAACAATATATTTTATTTATAGAAATAAAAACAAAAAACAAACAAAAAACGACCAAACCGTGAAGTAGAGACGTTATTCCGCTAAGGTCCTAGTGACCCGCATCATACCCCTGCCCTAACCCAACTTATGTAGGCCTACCTACTATCAGCGGATTGACGTTAATCAAGGTCCTGGCTCGCATACACCTAAACTAATGATTTAAAAAAATGTAATAATCCGAATCTTGAATTGCGAAAACAAAACAAGAGGAATGACTAGAAACTCCATCAAGAAACACATAATTTTAAGAGAAACTCGTTAGAATGATATGTGCATTGGTCAATCAACCTTCGATATAAACAAACATGGAGAAAAACGAAACTAATGCTGGCCTTACGTTAAGCATGGTACTATCAGAATTTCAGAATCGATTTTCATTTTGTTGTTTGGTTTGGGCCTACGCTCCTAAGTCCCATTCATAACAAAACTTGTTGGTCGTTTCGATGAGAAAATCATCGTGCATAAAGAATACAAAATTTCCCATAAATGATATTCCTATCACTTTATAAAAATTACCTAATATAGGCTTACAAATAATTATCTATTTAGCCTTTTGTTATGAAAATAATGTTAATTCCCAATCACGACCAACTAATACCTCGAAAATCAGTAGGGTCTGTGTTTCTTTTTTTTTTCTTCATTAGTCCTATTATTATTTTGGCAACAACAATTGAGACGTTATTTGTACGACATTTAAAAAATGTCAAGTTCCCCCTACACCAAATACCATAAAACTATAATTAAATTACTTTAATTAAATCCTACATTTACACACCTAGAATGTTTTTTCAGCTCCACCAGCTTCCCCTTATTATCCCCACCAAAGCTCGGCCCCTAGCGGTTCAGTGTCCCTGATCTGGCGATTGTATATTAGTAGGCAATATAAGGCAATACCTGTTTTCTTTTCGTAAGCATCGCACTGTAATGTACTGACACTACCTGGAAAGGAAGCGCTTGAGATTAGCCACGCCTACGCACGTGACTCCGATATGTTTTGATTGGTCAATACTCAGATAAGTTTTTACTATTAATTATGCGCCTCTGCGCTTCATGAGGACTTGCACGACAGGCATGGACGATTGTGCAAACAAATTGTGAGAAGGAAACAAATAATAGACCTATATTATTGATAATCATAATCATCAGTAAAGTTTTTTTTAAAGCTTAAAATAGTAAGGCCTATACCATGTTGCTTACGCATGCAGTAATACCTCGATTTGGCGTAGTTCTGACCCTTTATCTTTTTGTTGAATTGACATTTTCAAGTGTGAGCGTTGTGACTCCAGGTTGTACGCAGAATTGCTCTTGGAACTTCAATATTAATAATGGATCATCGGTAAGTAAAACCATATTAAAAATGCATATTTAGCAGCGCAGAAACATGGTCGTCTTTAGTGGAAAGTCCTGTTTGAAATAATTAAAAAAGAAATATTTCCTTTAAAAATCCTGGATCCTCCGTTTTTCGACAGGGCATGGAAGAATGTTTACAACTGGAAACCCAGGGCAGGCTCTCGTTCGTGGGGTAGGCCTACAGTGTGGTGGCTACACACTAGGCCTAGGCTAGGCCTGCATAGCAGTACCGGTATACGGTACGTTTGGTTTGGCATAACTAATGTAGTTGGAGACAGCCTACTTAGGCTAGCATCCCTACAACATAGGCATGGTCTCCGACGGTGAGGCGGCGGGGCCGATGCCCCCGATGAGGGGTCAGATTTCCATGGCGAAAGCAAAGTGGGCGTGGTCGAGCTTCAATTAGTTAAAAGGTTTCGAAAGTGGTCCAGGGGGAGAAGTCCCGGAGAATTTTTAAAATTCCTCGCTTTATACCACCCTGAAAAAAAACAGAAAAAAAAATCCAGTGGGAATGGGGTGCCCAGCCCAAGAGGACCCTCTCCCCCTACATTTGTCAAAATTGAAAACAAAAAAATCTATAAAATATTCAAATTCAAAGTCAAATGAGTGCCATTTCCGGGCATCTAGAGATGCCATAATCATAATTTTCTTTGCGACTCTTAATATGGAATAGACTAGGTCCTTAATTAGACTTTTGCGATGCCCGTGAGAGAAGGAATGCCCTAGGGAGGGGGAGCACAGCTCCCGTCGGGAAGACGTCAAGGAGGAACACAGCATTTTTACCATCTGAGAGTGCCATTTCCAAGCGTCTAGAGGGGCATATTCTTAAAATTTGCTCTGGGCCACCTCACCCCCGTCAGAAAATTTCTGGATCCGCCCCTGATTACAAATTCTTGGATCTGCCAATGATAAGTAGTAAGCAAAAATCGATGTAATACCAATGTCGAGTAGTCATTTTTAAAAACATGAGCATAACATTTTGGGGATCTTATAAAAGTTGCTGTGCAATATATTAAAACTATCAAATGATTTCTCTAGGATATGCATACCTGTCAGGTTGCAATGGTAAATTTAGGCAAGAAGATTACCTGAATGATTGGGTGTAATACAAGCACTCACTTATCTTCGAAGGAAAGAAGGACAAGATGAGCTATGAGAGGCACTATCTGTTATTCATATAAAGTATACTTCCATCCATTAGTGATAATAACTCTTTGAAATCTCTATTATGTTGTTGATTGCTTCCTTCCTGTCCACTATCTCCACACGTTCAAATGAATGAACAGTCAGTATTATGCTGAGCTGTCCTGTTATTAATACATGGTATATCATAGTCGGCCCATTTAAAGGAGTCGAGTCTCATTTTCCTAGTATTACATAAATTCATGAAATATTAATTGAGCATGATCACCACATTTATAAGTTTTTCATATTTTTGACTGGAAGAATGAAAGAAAGCAAATAAAAATAAATGAGCTATTGTATTGTATCGTAGCCAATCATAAGAGCATTTTTACTACAGTTATCACTTTAATTTATCATCATAAAGATATTTCATATAGATCACAGGTGGGCAAAGTGCGGCCTGCGGGCCGCATGCAGCCCGTCAGCGATTTTTTTGCGGCCCTCGACAATGAATTAAAAAACCCCATGTTTGCGGCCCGCCAATCAAAATTAGCAGAAATCACCTTGTTTTTTACGGCCCGACACCAATCATATGTAAAAAGTAACATTAAAACTGAGAATAAAGTGATCTAAAAGCAGTGCTTTGGGGTTTTTGGAAGCTCGCTGGAAGCACCAAAGTTCGGGTGCCGCCCTCGGTGTTAAATCAAATATTCACTTTGGCCCTCCGACTGATTTTTATGCCCACCCCTGAT